CGCGCTGTGCCCTCGTGTTTGCCAGGCAGCTGGCTGCCTTCATTATTTTTACGCCAACACAGTTTAAAACCTCCGCGGCCTCCGCGCGCCTGCGGAGGGGCGGCTGCCACATTACTCTGACACGCTGATGTCGTTAGGGTCCGCGCGCACCCTCTCCGGCTAATGAGGCGGCAGAAAGAAAATTAAGGGGAAAAATCACACAGGCACATTGCTCTAGATGTAGACGGGAAATAAAATGAGCAAGAAAAACAGAGGCACGCCATTTATGCTTGCTCCTCCCTCCTCCCCCCGCCCCCGGGGACAGGGTGCGGGCGGCCCTGTGGAGTCAGGAAATGGAGTCCTGGGTTTTGACTACTGCTCCCCCAGGATTTGCCCCCTAAAAGCCTGTGTCATGAGAGCAGGGTGAAGCCACCTTACCGAATTCTGTAATCGTGTAAAAAGAAAACACGAAAACTTTACACCTGGATTTTTAAACCTGGGCAATGCCCAGGAGGTGAGGCAAGACCAGAGCTTTGCAGATGTTTCTAGAATCTGTCATTCTCGTCTGCAACCTCCATTGCCCCTCTCTCTGCAGTCCTCACCTGGACGGCCACCAGTCTGTGGCTTTCACCAGCCCCTACCCAGCGTGTTCTCTGCACCTGAGCAGAGAGCTCATTTGATTATGTCACCTCCCTGCTTAGCATGTCACTGATTCCCATTGTTCTCCAGACAAAGGCTCAAACCCTTAACAAGGGCCCTGCCTAGCACCCGCCTCAACTGGCTCCCTCCTGCCCTTTCCTCCCCGGGGACTGGGTCCTCTCTGACGCACATGTGGCAGCTCCCTCTGCCCCAGGGCATTGCCTGGACTGCTCCTTTCTGCCTGGATGGCCTTTCCTCCCCTCCTCACATAGAAAGGCTTCAGCCTTCAGGTCTGGGCTCACTCAGCACCTGCGTGGGGGAGCTTGTGGAGCCTCCCCCCGACCCCCCAAGCTAGGTCAAGCCCCCTAGTTGGCACTTTCAAGGTGTGGAGGGTCTTTGCTCTGTACCTGTTCTCACCACAGCAACATCACATGGGTGTGTGTGTGTGTGTGGTTGTCTTACCCTCCTGAGGGACCCTTGCCATGAGGGCTGGTTCAACACACTAACTCCAGCACTGGGCTTAGCAATGCCTTAGGAATGTGTGTTGAATGCCTAAATACATGCTTCAGGGATGCCCGTGGGAAGCATGGCCTATGTGGTTTGGGGGAGACAGTGCACCGCTGGTGTTGTCCCTGCACCTCCCCCACTCGTGGGCAAGTATGAGTGTGAATATTTACGGCCTCCGCGTGTGCATTTCCGCTGGGTGCTGCTGGCCTCTGCCCCGTAGGTAACAAGGCACAAAACAGCACAAAATAAGGAACAGGGGTGAGGAAGCAGAGTGCGTTAAGCATGAGAGCTGACTGCAAATGAAAAGTGCTCTGAGGAGGGGGTCCCTTTATATACTGAGGGACAAATGACCCATGGAAGAGGCAGGAAAGAGCGGTCCCAGGCCATGGGCTTCTGTCCTGGTGCTACTACCTCCCAGCTCTGGGACTTGGGGAGGTCCTGTCCCATCCCAGAGCGGGGCTGACTTACCCTCCCACATTTCTGTTCTGGGGTCCAGCCCCAAATCTGCTCTTCAAACACTTGGGATGAGGAAAGGAGTACTTCATTGTGAAAAGGTAACATGGGGCTTCGCTATTGTTTCATGAATCTGGCCTCCAGGTGAGAGGCAGGAGAGAGAACCGTGAGCAAAGCCCTTTATTCCAGACCAAGCATCCAACCCACAAGCTCAGCTAGTGCAGTGGCAAAGCAAGTTTGGACTCACATTCGTGTGTGTGTGTGTGTGTGTGTGTGTGTGTGTGTGTGTGTCTGCCCTCTTGTCCGCTCTCCCCCAGGCCAGCCCCAACTGTGCTGACAACTTCCAGAATTCAAACCTGGCCACCGCCTGCCACCTGCCCTTGTGCCCCCATCCCTGACTGGTGTTAACTAGAGGTCAGCCAGGCAGAAAGGCCTGGCATTGTCAACACGCTTGCTTCCCAAGCAGTGACACCACTTTGATTTTCACCGCAGAGCACTGTCCTCGGCGCGGTGGATGCTTGGAGTCCGCCTGCTGCGGCCATGGTGCCTTTGTCTGGGCCTGAGGGAATGTGATTTATGTCATAAGCTCGCTGTGAAACCTTTTGCCTCAGTAATTCCGAGCTCCGTGGGTGTCTCTTTACATCTATTTCAAGCCCAGCTGCTGCCCACGGACCGCGTGCTCTGTGACATTGCCGGCGCCTCCATGCACCCCTCGCCACGGTGTGGAGTCTCGCCTGCAGTGTATCTTTGTGGCCTGGTTCAGTGTGTTTGCTGCACGCTCCACGGGGCTGCTGAGCAGAGCTGTTCTGTCCCTTTGATGTCTCGTGTGGTGATTAGACTCCTTCCTGGTGGAACATGCAGGTGGCCTGGGTGGAGGAAGATGCTACAGCCAGGTTTCCAGTGTGTGCCCTGGTTGTCCTGGGCCCAGGCTAGAACATCACAGGCACTTGTAACTTGGCTCAGAGGACGCCAAGTATGGTAAATGCATTTGGGCCGCACCCTGCTCCCAACCAGGAGTGCCATGGGCGCCCCCTAGAGGTGAGGTCTACCTCAGCACAAAGAACTCAGATCCCCATGTCCATTTCCAAGGACTTAACAGCAAGTGGTGTGCCCTGGAGTTGCTAGAATCTCCTTCATTCACTCAACATTGAGGTGTGCAGGGGTCAGCTCTGTGCATGTGCAAGGAAAGCAATGGTGGGCAATGCTTTTTGGTGAAAGCCTCAAAGTATTCTGATTTCTCAAGGAAACTCTTAATTCCTTCTACAATTGCTGGGAGAGTCAGTGTCACTTCTAGGAGCTGAATACTTCTCATGGCCTTTTGACCCCCATTATAGGACCCCCCAAACCTAAACACAACTTACACCTCCACTGACCATGCTCTGCTCCTGTGTGGCTGAACCAGGATAGGGCCCCTGGAGACCCAGAGGGAGAGCCACTGTGCCTTGCCCTGCATGTCAAGGTCAAGGCGGGGTAATCCCCACAGCCCTGGAGACAGAGTTCAGGTGTTAGAGTTCTTATCTTCAGGGAAGGTGCCCCTGGGGCTGCACCTGAGACTTGGACACCTGGGTAAAGAATCACTCAAATAGAGTGACTTCAAGGCCAACAAAGGATTATTTGTAGTCACTGCTGAAATACACTGATATTTTTTCTTTTTGTTTTTTTCTTTTTTTTGATATTTTTTCTTTAAAATAATTTGCCTCAGCCCTAGCCAGTTTGGCTCAGTGGATAAAGTGTCAGCCTGTGGATCAAAGGGTCCCGGGTTTGATTCTGGTCAAGGGCACATACCTTGGTTGCAGGCTCCTCCCTGGCCCGGGCCCTGCTGGGGGCTCATGCAGAAGGCAACCCATCGATGTTTCTCTCTGTCTTTCCCTCTCTCTTCTACTCTCCCTAAAAATCAATGGAAAAATATTCTTAGGCAAGGATTAACAACAAAAATAATTTGCCTCAGATATTTTTCACTGGTGGCCCATTGCATAAAGCCTGTTTCTTTTGCATTTTCTATGCAATTTCATATGATAATGGTTGACGTGTGCATCTTGGTTTAAGGCAAACACCGTGTGACCCGGAGGGGCAGTGAGTGGGTCTTGTTTCCATGTTATGGGTTGATGCACTAAGCCTGCTAATATTGGGACATGTTAAAATGCAAATTAGGGAGATAACAGGTAAGTGTTATAGAATATAAAGCTGCTGGCATTCCCTCCCTTTCCAGAGCCCACCCTCCTGGAGTCACTGTATTAGTAGAGTGCCACGTGAGAACCACGTGAGAACGGCTCAAAGACAATGTGAGAGTTAGTACAAGACACTTGTCATAATGTTTGTCAAGGAAACGCTCAGGGAGCTGTTTGGGTGCGCTTCCCACTTTTCACCTGTGTTTTTACAGACACAAACTTTACTCTGCATGCATCTATAATGCAAAGTTAGCATTTGAGAGAAATGTGTGAATCGCGCTATTTCAGACCATCTAGAATACTGCTCTTTTTGGATGACAGCCTTTCACCCATTCAAAACTTCTCAGGCATGTCTCTTGCCTCTGATTGGTGAGCGTGGGGAAGAGGGATCATTTTAAAATTAAGCACACCCACTTTTACATCTAATGGAATGAATTTCCTTCGGTGAAGTCTTTTGGGAAAGACAATCTCTTACTCCAACCAATATTTTGGGAACTTTTCTTTTGGAAATATTTCCCGTCTTTTGAGTATTTTCTCTGGTGAGAACTCATTATTCTTCCTCTTTATTATTTCAAGCTAGATCTGACCCATGGGGAAGGTGACAAACCGCTCAGAGGCAAGCCTGCAAAGTGGGGTTGAGGTCTCCACAGCCCTGACTCTGGAAAAGTCCCCTCACCTGGCTGAAACCCAGGAAGGAGAAACACCTGCCTGGTATTTCACAGGAACGCGTGAGGATGAAAATGAGGGAATTTGCAAACGTGTAATTAATCTCATTAACAAGGTTGGGGATTTCATTTCAGATCAAATGCCAGATGCCTTAAGAAATCGATTTTCATTGTTCTGAAAATGACAACAAAAGATGAGCTGCCAAAATAACTTAAGGCATGACAGCGTCATGGAAATAAGTGTGTGGAGTCCCCAGGTGACTACTTTGAAAGGACACACGCAGGCATGCTTGTTCACACCCCAACCTCTTTCTTTTCTAGTGGCTGGAAGCTTCTGGGCCCTGGTTCCTCAAAGTATGGTCCCAAGACCAGCAGCCTGGGCCTTACCTGGCAACTGTTAGAAGAGGAGACGCTCCCACCCAAACCCACTGAGTCAGAATCTGCTGCTTCCCAAGTCCCCTGTTGGTGCCCTTCTCATCTCTGCTCTATTGAGACTTGAGTCCTTGACCCCTCATTCTTCCGAGTCCCTGGAAGAGTGAGAAGCGCTGCATGCAAAGCTTGGGGTGGGAGGTGCCCGGCCACCTCTTACCTTGGGGAAGGCGTCGGGCCACAGGGTGGGGGAGCCGTGGTTGAGCAGCGCCTGCACCGTGCGC